TCACACTTTAGAATAGCTTATGCCACTAGATGTAATGCCTAGAACATTGATAGTTTTAAATAACTGATGTTGATGGCTAGGAGCTTGAAAATTAACTGAAAGGGCATTATGACCCTTGCTTTCTGAGTTGTAGAAGTGTTATTTGTCTTGCATTGTATGCTCTACGTTATGTGATCACCACTTGGTTACTTCACACTTTAGAATAGCTTATGCCACTAGATGTAATGCCTAGAACATTGACAGTTTTAAATAACTGATGTTGATGGCTAGGAGCTTGAAAATTAACTGAAAGGGCATTATGACCCTTGCTTTCTGAGTTGAAAAGACATCCAGTGTTTTGCCAGAGTCACTCACTTGATGTGTCTGAGTTGTGGGAGTTCCACACGATCCTAGGGAAACTTGTTGAATCTCCATTTTTCTGTAGATTTATCTTATCAATTTAAGGAAAGTCAATTCTACATGAAAATACCACATTGTTATTACTGAAGTGTTATTATATATTCCAAAATATTTTCAGTGTTATAATTATATATACCTTATCCGTAATTACAATATATAATTTCTTTTATCAGGTTTTATTATAACTGTTTTGTAATTCTTATACAGTTTTTTTTAGATATAATTCTTCTTTACTGAGTTTACCATGTTTCTCTTCAGAATTATGAGTATTCAAAGATGGCTACCCAACTCGAGTATCAAATTGTTCACAACTAAAATATCGTATTTTCTGTTTTTAAACTTGTAGTAATTGTTCAAAATTTGAAATATATTTTTGAAATGGTGATAATATAACCATTTCCTAAGTACAGTAATGGAAATAATTATGGAAACATAAAGCGATACACATACAAAAGTCACATACAGTGAGAATGGCAATTAGGTGGAGAATTCCTTAATGGCCCAAAATATAAATAACAAGTTGGAGAACAACAATTGATAAACATAATGAACTGATTTATTTTTATGGTAACATACTACATGTTTTCTCAGAACATTGGCCTGTCTTCTTCATGTATATTATCACAGAATGTACAGATGAATAAGTAATACAATGCATTATTAGTTTCTGTGTGAGCTCCTTGTTTTACACAAAATAATACACTTTGTTTTTCTGCTTTACAGATGGTCATTGTACGTATTATAGGGTATTGTTCCCAATGTTCTGTATTACTCCTCACAATTAAACCAAGTTGTTTGGTTGCCTTTGACCTCATTTTTGCATGGGCCTACACAGCACCAAGAATGTTCATATTGGGAACTAGCTCAATGGGGCTATTTACTGTCAAGATATCAAATACCCACATTTCTTTTATACTTGTGATCAATGTTTTGCTGGAAGGTGAATCCCTACCCTAAGCATTTTGTTTCTAAGCAAATGGCATGATAGATTGAAATCTTTTCGGGCTTGTCAATAGGTAGAGTGGTGTTTAATTTTGTGCTATTGGCTGAGGGACAGCTCCAAATGTGTTATGATCCTACACCAGGCTTCACTGTGTATGTGGTAAACATGTTATGATCCTACACCAAACTTCACTGTGTATGTGGTAAACATGTTATGATCCTACACCAAACTTCACTGTATATGTGGTAAATGTGTTATGATCCTACACCAAGTTTCACTGTATATGTATTATGATCCTACACCAAGTTTCACTGTATATGTGTAAATGTGTTATTATCCTACACCAAGCTTCACTGTATATGTGGTAAATGTGTTATGATCCTGCACCAAGTTTCACTGTATACGTGGTAAACATGTTATGATCCTACACCAAGCTTCACTCTATATGTGTAAATGTGTTATGATCCTACACCAAGCTTCACTGTATATGTGTAAATGTGTTATTATCCTACACCAAGCTTCACTGTATATGTGGTAAATGTGTTATGATCCTACACCAAGCTTCACTGTATATGTGTAAATGTGTTATGATCCTACACCAAGCTTCACTGTATATGTGGTAAATGTGTTATGATCCTGCACCAAGCTTCACTGTTTATGTGGTAAATGTGTTATGTACTATTAAACAAGCTTCACTGTATATGTGTAAATGTGTTATGATCCTACACTAAGCTTCACTGTATATGTGTAAATGTGTTATGATCCTACACCAAGCTTCACTATATATGTGGTAAATGTGTTATGATCCTACACCAAGCTTCACTGTATATGTGTAAATGTGTTATGATCCTACACTAAGCTTCACTGTATATGTGGTAAATGTGGTATGATCCTGCACCAAGCTTCACTGTTTATGTGGTAAATGTGTTATGTACTATTAAACAAGCTTCACTGTATATGTGTAAGTGTGTTATGATCCTACACCAAGCTTCACTATATATGTGGTAACTGTTATTCCATTCTTATGTTTTTTTATTTACAACAGAACCAGCTATTCTTGTAATGTATCATTCCATGAGACCTCATCCAGCCATCACTGCCACACTCCTGGACTTTCTCTGTAGGGTAAGTAGATTTTATGATTGTTAATATCTTATCCAGCAATCACTGCCACACTGCTGGAATGTTTCTGTGGGCAGAATTGTGAATATCTCTTATTTATTATTTTTCAAACTTTGAATTATACTAGTAAACCTTTCCTGACTTTTGGGCTAAAGCCATGATTACTAAGTTATTATTCTATTAGAAATATACATTTATAAAATGATAATAGTTTTATATCTGGTCCATATATGTACATGTGTTAATCTTGTTTATGTATAAGTATTTGTGTGATATGACTGTTCTTCTGTTATGGGCAGTAAAGTTTTTTTATATGCACCAAATTTTGCCATTTTCAAATTCCTCAATGTGTACAGTATGTTATGCTAAAACGTTAATAACTAAACCTAAATCATATTTAGACCTGGTGTTAGTTTGTTCTTTTATTTCATAAAAAATAACAACTAAACCTAAATCATACTTAGGCCTGGTATTAGTTTGTTCTTTTATTTCATTACAGATAACAACTAAACCTAAATCATATTTAGGCCTGGTATTATTTTGTTCTTATATTTCATTAGAGATAACAACCAAACATAAATTATATTTGGACCTGGTATTAGTTTGTTCTTTTATTTCATTAGAGATAATAACTAAACCTAAATCATATTTAGGCCTGGTATTAGTTTGTTCTTTTATGTCATTAGAGATAATAACTAAACCTAAATCATATTTAGGCCTGGTGTTAGTTTGTTCTTTTATTTTATTGAGTTTCATTTATAGTCCTACAATACTCTTAGGTCTATTGCATTATGAATAATAATTGTGAATATTATCATTGATATTTATGTACGTCTTTCATATGTCTATAATTCTATTTCCACAATTATTTATGCTGAAGTAATTATCAACTTCTCTGTGATATATCATGCAAGTAATTGTTATTTATGTAACTAGCATAATTTGATATTACCTCACTGATGGATTTATTTAGCTTACTTAATTATTTGTAAATAGGTATATTACTGTCTAATGTGCTGGCCGTGTAAGAATCTGAGTAAAACGTGGAATACTTATCAGTTTTATGTAGATAATAGCATAACATAACATTTTGGGACAACATGGGACCTATTAGTCCATCTTCTAAACTAAACTATTAATAACTAAATTAAAAAAAAACTTAAGCCAGCCCTTATCATTCATATATTTATCAAGCTTTCTTTTAAACTCACTGCCTCAACAACATCCAAAAGCAACCCATTCTAAAGGCCAACCACCCTGTTAGAAAATTGAAATTGTCTTAGCTGAAGATGACTCCTACCTTGCTAAAATAGTCCTACTATTCTCATTGTTAAATATGAAACAAGATGATGCATCAACATTATAAATTCCCTTTACAATCTTAAACACCTCAATCAGATCCTCCCTAACTCTTCTTTTTTCAAGAGAAAACAATTTGAAAGATTTCAACCTTTCCTCGTATGACAACCCTTCCACCCCAGGCACCATTCTAGTAACCCTTCTCTAAATCTGTTCCAACAGTTCAATGTCCTTCCTAAAGAAAGGAGCCCAAAACTGAACATAATATTCCAAATGTGGCTTAACCAGTGACCTATACACTGAATTTATAACCTCTTTAGACTTGTATTCAATACTTCTGTAGATACAACCTAAAATCCTATTTGCACTACCACTAACATCAGCACACTGCTTGGATGGCTTTAGAGATTGATCAGCTGTATTCACCAAGATCACTTTCTTTCATGACACTGTTAAGGTTATTCTCATCCAAATTATACTTATAATTCAAATTATAATAACCCACATGCATTATCTTGTATTTATTTTGATTAAAACCCATTTGCCATTTACTTTCCAAACTTAATGATCTAAATCCCTTTGTAAATCACCAGCATCCTTCTCACAGCCATCAACACCCAAGACCTTAATTTAAGTAATTTGTTGACTATTCCTTCATCTATGTCATTGATGTGAATCAAAAAGAGCAAAGGTCCTAAGACTGAACTCTGAGGTACCCCACTTGACTTACAGAGGATGAGTACATTATATTAACCCTTTCCGTGATCTGCCCGAGATGACTTAAGTACTTTCTCTGTTTCAAAAATATTTGCCCAAGTTAATTTGGGCAAACCATTTCTCACCATATTTTTTATTTTTTGCCCGAAGTTATCCGCACATTATCACGTATTACAATTAGTGCTCACAAGACAGCACTGGAAATGCCGTTTGTGCTGATCTCCATCTGATTTATTCTGAATTAATTATAAATACTGGAGAAAAGCATTTCTATTCTTTACTATTGTTTCACTGAAATGATATATATCACATATAAATGCAGATCTGTAACAATTATTTATCAAGTATATTTTGTACAGAAATACAATAATATATCCTGAAAGAATTTTAGTTCATTAATATACAAGTATAAGGTATCAAAAAGCAAAATAAATAACCTGTCTTTTGTTTTTAAGCTCATTCTAAAAAAAAAAGCCTGACACAGAAGCTAAGATGATTTTTTGCCACACAATGTCTGTACAGTCCATATCGCTACATTTAGTCATACTCTATCTGAAAACTGTGCATCTTGGAAGTAGCCCTACAGCATAGTTTCTATTGCGAAAGCTCTTTTCAGGGCTTTCAAGTCCAGAGCTTTTCCCAATCCATCTAATGTTTGAAAAGAACAGTTTCTAGCACCCATTTGAACAGTTCAACCTACAGAAATCTATTGGCACTGCATTTGGTGAGTTGACTGGTGACTTGACTTTGGATAAAATATCATGAATGCCCATTTTATTCTCCAACTGCTTGAGGTATGCAATGGTTGAATGGATATGGCATGGAAACAGCTTGTGTACACATGAATTTTGTATATTTTGCAACTGGAGATTCTTCTTGATTATGTTTCATATTGTTTCCCTGGACATGTGGGTGACTTTTGCCACTGGTCTTTGTGTTCATGAATTCTCGCCTGTTACAAGACACTGCACTTTGCTTACTTTGGCTGTGGTATGACTTGTTGCAGGTCCCTTTCTTGACGGTCCCCATGTCATGTGTTGATCCATGTTCCTTTGTCCAATGGCATTATATACCAGGGGTATCTCATCTTTGAAATTCTAAGTTTGTGACCTTGATCTGAAGACCCGAGTGTTTTAATATTTTATGTCAGAAAGCAGTCTTTCTTCAGTGGAATCACATGAGTCTAAATATGCCAAACAATCTTGAAACATTCTTCTGATACACGCTATTCCCTCATGACTTTATACAAGCTGTGATTTTCGAGTGATTTGTTGATTTCCGTATTCATAATCAATTTAATCCTTTCCACACGAGAACAGGTCAGAGGCCATGTCATTGCTTTTATTGAACTACTATTTTATAAATTTAGGTCAATAAGTTTGGTAACAAACTGTAGATTATCATTCAAATTTTAGTAGTATACATTAGTTTTGTATGAATCAAGAACTCAAATTTCCAATATTGACAAGCTAGAATATAAAATAAGAACCTCCTATCTTTTCTATTTGCTGAAATATTGCTCATATACTGAATCAAGCACAGTGGCCCCACTAACCTTCCATTTTTGGAAGCACTCCCTTATATACTCTTACTTCTGTCTATGACATGTTAATAACCAATCAAAAGCTCGGAATGGCCCCCTAGTGGCTTTCTCAGCCATTTTCAGGTATTACATCATTTCATTCTTTCAATACAAAACTTCAAGGTGGTAAGTTGAGTCTTCAGTCTGCTTGAAATTTCTTATTTTTTTAGACCCAAATACAGCTTAGTTACTACACTTGATAAATTATAGTGGAATTCTATTGTATCGATATAGTAATTTATGATTTTCTTGGTTATTTAAAGTTTATATATAAAACCTAAAAAAAAATTTCTTTTCACATCCTCCACATGGGAAATTTTATAAGGCTTAACAACCTTTGACAAGCAGCAAATTAGGTTGTAACAAGAAGAGATAATTGTTTGCTTTACTTCTTTATTTACTGTTCAATGTTTTAAGAAAAATAAGTTTAAGAAGTTACTTGTAAATAGTAATAATGTATAATAATTGAAATGCGACTGTATTTTACAAAATACTAGTCCACTGAAACACAACCAAGATAGGTCACTTTGTAAAGACTAAAGGTCAGTTTTATATTATTGGATACGGTAACATGAGTGCACGTGTGCCGCATCATTGTAACTTCTGTATTGTTAGCCAGGCATGGCTGAAAGGTCAATATAATAAAAATAATAAATGTATTATGCTATGAGATTTAAGCTATTTAGTCTAATCATATGTGTTTTTGTGTTATAATCTGTAGTCATTCTGGAACGAAAAAGGCATAATTTATATTTATTTCCTAATTTTTTATGGTGGTTACGAGCTCAGTCAAATCGACCGAACCCATACAGATATTAATTACTGAAAAATAACAGATAAAATATACAATTTTTTTTTAAGAAACGTTTTATAACTATCTGGATGTAATAAAGATTTTGCATGTGAAATTTGAAAATTTTCTGATGCATAAAAGTATTTTTAATCTTAAAGTGAAACTTCCTTTGCATTTTGGATAGGCAACATGCGAAAAGAAAAAAAGGCATGAGAAAAAACATTGCTTAACAAACCTTTTGACTTAATAAAAAAAAATCTGATATTTTGTGTATGAAAGCATTGTAATGTTTACTGATAATCTGCAAAATTTTGTTAACATTCGCTTACTAATTTAACAGTTACAGCATGAAAACTATAACAAGTACAGAATGGTTACAAGGTCGGTCCTAGGGACCGAACCCGTGCTGAAAGAGTTAATATCTAATACTCAACCCTCTGTAAATGAAAATAGTTAAACTTATAATGTCTTTCACAAAGGAAAGGATGAAGAGAGTAAAAGAATATTATGGTCATCTTATTAATCATCGAGGTAGAAGTAACCAAGGTTATTGCATATGACCTTTATCTAGGGTATTTGAAAGTTTTTCTAACAAATAATTCAGTGCCAAAGAAATATATGCATTTTTAGTGTGATTTCGTTTGTACTTACGCTACTTTTGTTGTTTTTTTTATTTTCCAGATAATGACAAATTTTTATACACCTTTAACCAGTCAAGTAAAACAAGGAATCTATTCTTCCTTGAGGCAGATCCTTGAAAAACGAGTTTTACCGTAAGTAAATTAAAAAATTTTACATTTAGTTTTTTTTGTTTCTGGTGTTATTCTTTTGTCTTCGTTTACTTGTGTAATATAGAATTTTGTTAATTAAAAACCAAATCTACATTAAATAGATAAGACACAGTATTAATGTTTACTTCCTCTTTCTGACCTATCATATAATATTTCACATTAAAGACATCTGCCACTGGTTCAGTATTAATGTGTTGTACATTAAAAAGTACCATAGAAAAAGTTTTGCCAGTGAGGATCTCAAAATCGAAATATTGTTTGTTTAACATTTTTTGCTTAATTAGCTCTTTTTATATTAATACATATATTTATATATTTTATTGACTTTTAACTGTTTCAAAGTAAAAACTCCTACTGAAACATGTCAACAGTTTCTTCACTTTTTGTTTTTGCAAATAAAAAAAAAATTGATGTATTTGACAGCTAGCAAAATACTAACATAGTGATTCACTCCATTCAGATGTGTAGACAAGTGCTGTTGAAATGATAAAAATGAAAATATTTTATCTTTACACTAGAGAATCACTTCTTTAGCTGTCTCTGTTTAAACATAGTAAACAGGTTCAGAGGCAGTCCAAATTATTACTTCAAATACTCTTATTACACCTAATATGAAGGAATGTTTACTGTTCCGTGATTTTCATGTTTGTTACGGATATTACAAACAGGAAGAATGATTAAACAATGTTTTTAAGATATTTCAAAGAATGAGACAAAACCATCTTGTTAGTAAGCACAGTAGAATGACACTATTGAGTGTTTTTTGGTTGGTCTGTTTTTACAGGATGACACTAAGGGGTGTTTTTTTCTGGTTGATTGGTTTTTACAGAATGAACCTAATCAGAGTTTTTTCTGGTTGATTGTTTTTTTATAGAATGACACCTTCCTATAAAAACCAACCAACCAGAAAAAACACTCATTAATGTCATCCTATAAAAACCAATCAGCCAAAAAAAAACACTCATTAGTGTCTTCCTATAAAAACCAGTCATCCAGAAAAATACACTCATTAGTGTCTTCCTATTAAAAAACAACCAACCAGAAAAACACTCATTAGTGTCATTCTATAAAAAACCAACCAACTAGAAATACACTCATTAGTGTCATCCTATAAGAGCCAACCAACTAGAAAAAATACTCATTAATGTCATCCTATATAAACCAACCAAACAGAAAAAACACTCATTAATGTTGTTCTGTAAAAACCAACCAACCAGAAAAAACTCATTAGTGTCATCTATAAAACCAACCAACCAGAAAAACACACATTAGTCATTCTATAAAAAGCAATCAACCAGAAAAAACACTCATTAATGTCATCCTATAAAACCAACCAGAAAAAATACATATTAGTGTCATTCTATAAAGAAAAACAATCAACCAGAAAAACACACATAAGACACTAATGAGTGTTTTTCTGGTTGTTGGTTTTTATAGGAAGACACTAATGAGTGTTTTTTTCTGGCTGATTGGTTTTTATAGGATGACATTAATGAGTGTTTTTTCTGGTTGGTTTATTTTCATATCATTCTCATATAATATGTTATAAAAGTAGTTTAGTATTTTCTCCAAAAAAAATGTTCTTTTGAAGAGTTTTTGTACTTTATTGTTTGCCACAGATAAGAAAACTAATCAATGCTAATAAACCTTCTTCTAGGTCCTTATCTCCTTTGTTTGATAATCCTAAGCTTGACAAAGATCTTAGGGCAATGGTGAGAGAACATTTTGGGGAATTTTGTTCTTTAACTGATGGTAAGTTGTTTGTTTTTACTTATGGCAAATTTTCTTACAATAAAATCATAAGTGATACACGTTTATAATCCAGTTAGTTGTACTATAGATAATGTTTTATTGATTTTTATATGTCCTTCAATAAATATAAGTGAAAGTGATACATACACACACACACGCTAACTCTTAAGATATTGTATTTAAATTTCTAACTTTGGATTTAGTCTTATCAAATGATAATGAAAAGTTTAGATATAAACTTAAAGAAACAATTTTCTTCTTATAACTTATTTTGAGAAAATGGTTAATTTATTGTGGAAGCTGATTGTTTTACAAAAACTAGTAAATGTGTGAAACTTTTGTTAGTGCAATTAACTAAAAATATTTTAATCACTTAGATTTAATCACTGGGTAACAACAGTAACTTTACAACCATTTTTATTCTAAAGTAGGAAGTATTGTATCAGTCTTACTTCAACTTCATGGTATTGGTCTAAAATTTATAGAAAAAAATTATGCTTTGAGAAAAGATAGTTAATAAAGGACCACAAACAGTTTTTTTTTATCATATAATGAAATAAAAGTGTAACCGCTAGTGTTAGCAACCACCATTAGGCTTAAGTTGTCCAAACTAAGCATCCATAGTTTGTATTTAGACAGTAAACTATGATTAAAACATTTGAGTGGTGGATGTGCTCCTTTAGACTTAAGAGTCATCTTTCAACTAATAAATAAACTAGTAGCAACTGTGGTAGTTTTTAAATATGTAAAAAGTACAAAATTTTTCAAGAGGTTTTGTCAGTTGATAACCTTTTAATTTTTGTCTGCAAACTTTAGAACTTTTGACAGTTTGCAGTTCTTCAGCCTTGTTGAATTGTTTTATTTGTTCTGTATGTCCATTATTGTTTGATTTTAAAGTAAAACAAGAAGAAACTGTTCAGCCACGAGAATCAGAAGTAGTTATCATTGATGGGAATCACACTGGAAATGTTAACATTTCTGAAAATGAAGCACAGTTTAGCGAAGATGAAGATGACATACCACTGGGTAAGTGTGACATACATTCAGATAAACATCAACTTGTATTTATTTCATTCCTTATACTATAATTATGTTATTAAAGTTACAAGCTGTTCTATAAATAAAAGCAAGTTTGTCAAAATCATGATTTAGAGTTTTCACTACTTTCTTTTTAAGTTACCCATGTAATTATCAAACATTTATAAAAATTTGAAACAGTTATTCATGGGATAATGCTAATAGATTTATTTCAGTACAATGTTTTATCTCTAACAGTGTGACATGAAATGCTGTATTGAAATCTGGTCCTCAGCAAATTTCTGATAGTGAAATACCAACATGGTAGAATTATGTCAGCCTTTTTGAAAAATAGTCATAAAGCAAGCTTGTTTTAGCTGTTGTAGAGCCAAAGGAGAAAGTATTTGGAATAAAAGGAACCTTTAGGATTCTCCTTGGAAGAGATAAAACTTGTACAGCAGTGTATTTAGAATAACAACAGGCTGTAAAAATTGCAACTCCTAATTTATAATTGTTTTTCAAAAGTCCAAACATTAATATGTAGAAAACATACATTCTCTACATTGAATACTGTTTATTCAGTTTCTGAAAATAATTTAACATAGAGAACGGTCCATTTATATTTTTTTACATACTAATTCATAAAATGCAGACTGTGCATAAAAGAGAACCCTTCAGCCCAAACATTCATGGCAGTAAAACTTAAAATATCTCTTGCTACCATTAAGAAAGATAATGAAGTTCAAAAAAGCCACACCTCAAAATCAGCAGCTGTTTTCATGAGAAAGAAGACTGAAGAAACTGGAGTCATGGCAATTCGTTTCCATCACATACCTATCAAGATTCCTGATACAACTCCATTGTTTTTTGTCATTGTTCTACTTAAGTCGATCTCGTGTGTTTAGGTATTTGTTTTGTCATGTGTTTTGTACTCTTTATTGCCAATCCATTTTTCCAGAGCTGGAAACTGTTGTGTAGAAACTAAATCAATATTATTTGAATTTTAGATAAGTTAAGAGTTCGAGACATCAAGTTTCGTCCCATTAAGGAAACTTCCAAAGTGGAACAAATAGATATCAATGAATATATTGATCAACTGTCAGGAGATATAAAAAAGTGGACAATAAATCTCAAAAATGAAAAGTAAGTCCTAAACATATTATTTAACTTTAATGAGTATTTGTTTTGAATTCTACATATCCTTGAAAAAAAATTTTTTTTTGTCATTTCTGTTTGTAACACGAAATATTTTGATATTGAATTAACCCTTTCCAAACAAACAGGATTAAATGTTGTTGTTTTTTTTGTCTGACACTTAAAATGCTTAACCTGATTTGCATTAGATTTGGTATACGCTTTCTACATGATATGTAGTTTGTGCTTGAAAAAAAGTTTTATAATTTGGTTTGGTATTTTTAAAATATTTTAGGGTATTTTGGAAATTATTTCATGAAATGTTGTTTTTTAATAACATTCAAAATAGTTTTCTTTGTCTTGTTATTTCTGTTTTTTGTCTTGTATACCTAAAAAAAATCAAACTATACTTTTTTCTGACTATGTTGTTCTAATAACAATATGCTCATTTTCTCGTCTGTTTATATAAGCTCTTATATACAAAGAAATTAATTAGTAAAAAATATGAAATAAAACTGGTATTATTTTAATATTATTGATCAGAAAATTTTGTTTTTTTATATCCAATGAATTCTAACTTATTTTCATCAATTATTTATATTTTTTATATTATTTTATTATTCATTATTTATATTTGTTATTTATTTTACCTGTTGAAGCAGTTATATAGCCATAAAAATAGCATAAAACACTTGATGAACTAAAAAAGCATTGACCATTAAACAAAATTTGCACTTTTATCCTAGGCCTACATTGATATAGGTAATATTTTTCCATTTGTTTGTTTGGTCAAACTCGGTTTCTCTGTATTAGTTATTGTTTGTTTCAATAACTAAGGAGATCTTACACTTTGTATCCTTATCGGATGTCTTATCATGTAAGAATATTCTTCAAGTTTTGAAACAGATATACACAAGAAAATTATCATAAATGAACAGATCATCAAACAAATTATAAAAAATTACCAAGGTTTTTAGCTTGTTCCTAAGTTTCGTAAGTTTCCCATTAGAATCCTTTATAAGATCTTCTACTAGTCACTTTCTCAGAAACCATAAATCACTGCTTTGCTCTAATCTATTTACTTTACAATGACATAGCTAAACAAGCATCTCTTCTCTCCATTCATTTTCAACCATTGGTTCTATCTTATTAGGAGGCTAAGGTGTATTGGTTACTGTCCAACCCACTTGTTTTGGCAGTATCAAGCCCACATTAAGGTAGTTTGAGGCCCTTGTCCACTTATTTTTTTGAGGCTTCTTGAATAGGGTACAAGCAAATTTGAAGTTAATTATAATTAATACATATTAAGTTAATTACAGAATATGAGCTAATTATTCGAAGTAAATTAGAATATGATGCATCTAACTTTTAAGGATGATTAAAGTTAAATGATTATAATAATAATTTATTTGTACAACATGACAAGTAAGAATGAATTAGGTACATAAAAAACAATATAATTATTGTACAACATTAAGATAGCATGCCAAAACATTACCCTAAAATCGTTTTTTCCTTGCTTTGGCGGAAGCAAAATCTCTAATTACATCTTCTTAATCTATTTGCCTAAACAATGTCCTTTCTATCGTGAGCAAGGAAAGGGCATTTATGCGTTCATATAATATCGAAACATGTAATTTATTTTTTATCCTAGCCATTTTAGAAAAAGCTCTCTCTACACTGCAATTCGTGGCAGGTGGGCATTAGTATATCCTTAATGCTACATCAGCATTAGGAAAAACAGATTCTAGTTTGTTTTTCTAATTGCTTTGATCCATTGTTGGGTGGATGGTGTTTCACTATAAAAAATTTCACAAACTGTACCATTTTATCTGGAAAAGAGCTGTCTACATCTGGATAGTATATGTCTCACAAACTTTTAGCTGCAGCAAAAAATTCAGTCTCATTTAAATTTTGGAAATTAGATAGAAAATCAAACTTCATTTCTGTCGCTTTATATGCAGCAAGCCGATTTTTCAAACACATTTGTAACTTGTCAACTATCAGTATAAAATTTTCTAAATGAAACTTCTGAGTTCCAGATAAACTAATTTCACCTTCAGAAGTCTCATCAGTTGCCAGCTTTCTTTTCTCTTTCTAGAAATCTCACTCCTAAACTGTTCTTCTACTATATTTGAAAGCTGATGAGCTTGAATTTCGATTCTATCAAATTCTTCACATAGTGAATATACTTATCTCTTCAGCAAACTGACAAGCTTTACAGCAGTAGACAAATGAAGGCTCTTCTTGAAGCTTGCCACTTGTAGCATCAAACCTTCGAAGACTTTTATACCAAAACACTGTTATAAAAGCAACATCTAACATTCTCATTTTATTCATCAAAGTAGTAGTTTCATTTCTTACTGTTTGCCTTGCATCAATATCCTTGATCAAAATCTTCAAGGTTGGTATAAGTTCTGTCATAGTTTTCACACAAAATTTTTGTTGAAACTGATCTGGCTAACCATCTTGTTCCACTGAGGTTCTTAAAAAGTAACTGGCCTCCAGTCATCGCTTCTTAAGCCATCACAAACTTTTTGCCATCTCTTGGTTGAAGAAGCATAAATATTGTACAGATTTTGAAGAAAATTGAAAAAAAAATTTGATGCACATTCACATCTACTAGATTTAATGAATGTGCTGTATAAGGGATTAAATAAATATATAGGTTTACGTTCTTGAGATGTGCTTTTAGGCCATTGTATTTACCATACATATTTGCTGCATTATCGTACGATTGTCCACGAGCATTTTGAATGTTGTTTCCCATCTTATTTAATTTTTCTACGACAACTTCAGCCATTAATTTTCCTGTATGCCTACTTGAAGGATCATATCCGACAAAACACTCCAATGTATCACTTTCCTTGTCACATATCGCATTATTATAACTAACTGATCTGAGTGTAAGAAATCTACAATAATTGAAAAGCATTTAGCATTGCGAATTTCATAATGAATTGTCTTATAAATTTTATTAGCCATCAAAATAATAATTTTTTCATAAACTGTGGAGGATAAATATGAGGTAACTCCCTGGCCTTTATTTCCATGCATTTCAAAGTGCTTGGCCAAAAATGGATTGAATTTAGGTGCAGCTAAAAAGTTGCCATTGTTGAAATCTTCGATCTCCTCTCTATCCCCTCTAAGTGCTAATTCTCTTCCACACAAGAATTTTAGACATTCAACAACTCGACACAATACCTCCTGCTAATATCGTATTTCGTATTCTAAATCACAGTTTCTATGCTATTAGTTTGTCCCATCCAGCAGTGCACAGAATATATGTGAGCATTACTTTTTTTCATGGTTTTGTATAGCTCTAGAGCCATGCAACCCATTGCAGAATTCTTTTATAAAAGAGTCATCAGAATCTTTAAAAAGAATGAAAAAAAATTTCCAGAAAAAGGAGAATAGACCAACCAATAATTTTTATTTTGTTTTGCCATTTTATAGTTTAATCTTAAAAAAAAGTTCAATGAACAGCATCTCTGAACATTTGTTGAAAGTTTGATCTTAAAAAAAGTTCAATGAACAGCATCTCTGAACATTTGTTGAAAGTTTGATCTTAAAAAAAGTTCAATGAACAGCATCTCTGAACATTTGTTGAAAGTTTGATCT